CAATATATTGAGTGAAGGAGGCCATACGCTGGTTACTAGACTAACGATGGACGTGACCAGACTGATACTCACCCGTACGTCCCTACACGGTACATGACAGTAGAGTGGTTATAGACTGCCCACACTCCAACACGTCCTACTGAAATCTGCAGAAAGCGTTCTATACCGACTACTTCCCATCCGGTTCCTAGAAAGTAAGATTTAGAATTTCACTTTATTGTGCCTTCACCAAATAATCTTAATCTTATCTACTGTGGAACTATATATATTTCGTATTATTCATATATACAAAACGTTTCTAATTTGCATGTATTATAAAAAAGTTAAGAAAAAAAGCTGAGCCCAAAATCTGCCAACAAACTGAAATCCGTTGATAGCCCCTTGAGTAACCCTGTTTCCACGATAGCAAGGTCATTTGATGTGACTTAAAATAAAACTTGAAATATTACTGGCTGCTCTTATAAACCTTTGTGGATTTACATGTGTACTTCTATGTGCTTTTTTTTTACTTCCACGAATAATGGCGGCACTGCTGCCGCTAAAATGGAAGTATTGTTTTGGGAATGTGTGTGTGTTTCCGCATATTCGGGTCAGCCTTACTTCAGATGGATTGTGATGATATTAGCTATGTGGCAGAAAGAGCGCAGCTGTGAGGCCAGGTGTTTACCTTGAGGAACCATTTTGGTAACCCCCGTGCGGCGCAGCGGTCTGCCTTCGTCATCCAGAGCCCAAACCTGATTGGTTGAGGAACTGATGCTGATCTGTTTGATTTTTCCACTCACCAAAAACCAATCAGATCTAGACAGCAGGTCATCTGGAGTAGCTGATCCTATTTTGTGAGTTAAAATGATGAACTTAAGTCAAAATTACTATGTACTTTTGTTTCTTCGCTAGTGTGGCGAGGAGGATCCAAATGCTGACATTCAAATAAAATGAACCAAGCACACATTGCGTCAGTGCAATTAATGCGGATAATTTCCGCATTAACAATATACGCATTGTTTTGTTTATAACTAACTTCAACCTTATTACATGTAACTTATATGACTCTCAATCCCTCAAAGTGCAAAGTCCTCTTCTTCTACTTTATGCGACACCTATCGCCGCCACCTGAGATTACAATTGGGCCTACACAACTGGAAGTCGTCAGCGCTGCACGAAACCTTGGCGTGATTCTACAGAACACTTTGAAGTGGTCGCAACATGTCGCTATGATTGTCAGCAGGAGTAGGAGTAGACTGTATATGCTAAGAACTCTCTGTAAACAAGGACTGGACTCTCATGATAATGTGTTAGTATACATCGGTTTTGTTCGCCCTGTGTTAGAATATGCTTGCCAAGTATGGCAACTGTTGTAGAATCAGAGTCTATTGAGAGAGTCTAGAAAAGGGCATGCAAGATATAATCATGGGTCGGTCTTACACTAGCTATAGCTCAGCTCTACAAGAGCTCTCACTGACATCGCTAGCTCAAAGCCGACTAGAACTCTGCCAAAAGTTCGCACAGTCCTTGCTGATGCACCCTACATTCAGAAACTGGCTCTGACAGACACACCAGACAGAGACATCTACTGTCCACCCTCAGAACAAGAACAAAACGATTTGTATATATAATGTAGGTTTTAAAATCACTTCCCTTAATTACTTTTAATGTGGTCAAGCATGTACTTTTTTGTGTCTTTTTAAATCTGTTATTACTGTAAAACACGCAATTCAGCCTGTGGCTGCCATGTGTTTTTGACGAAAAAAAACTTTCATTCAAATTCCCTTATTGACCCAACATCAGTTTCTGTATTTTCGTATTCATTGTGGGGATAAGGTTCTTATTTGCATGTTGGTGTTTGAGTATATTCCACCTGCCATTAATGACATGTGTTACAAGTATTAAATTCCCATTATGAAAATCACGATAATCTTACATTGTCCTCCTTAATAATGATTAACAAATCCGTTCCTCTTTTGCATAATTTACATGTCAAATGATGCCCAGTTTAGCTGACTTTAATAGCCAAATAGGTGTGACATGAAGGAAAACTACCTAGTTTTTACAACCATTGAACATGCATGAGATGATCTTTCCAGTGTATGACAGTATCCCATTTCCATTGGATCTGCATTACTGACAGCGCATTTACTAGATTTGGTAATGTTGTATTTAATTAGATTATCTATTCACCTTTTTGTCAGACATAACTTACAGCGTCTTCAAGACATCACAATTATAGCTGGCAATAATTGTAAAGAATGACCTTACCTTGGCCCTTTTCCACCGCTTTATATCGCGCAGAAAACCCAGCTCTGCGAATCACAAAGTCTGTCACGAAAATGACGTTAAGACGGTTTCCAGTCGAGGTTTTAGGAGAGGGGACACAAGTGCCACACCAATGTGCCACGTGTGCTTCAACATCAGGGTCGTGAGCTATTACATAGTCTTCACAGCCTTGGTTTAAATCGATATCGAAATCCACAAACGTCAGTTTGACAGCCTTGTGTGTGTCGACGGCAATGTTCCACTGCTGATACACGTGGTTCCGGTAGGGGTAGTGCGGGTAGTTCATGGACGAAAACGCACCAGTATCTCCTAACAGATGGTGCATCCGTTGATATCCCTGGCGATCTTGTAAAAAGATTTTTTGTTAAGACATATTAGTGAAGTTTGAAGATATTATAACAAATAAAGAGTCTGGGAACACATGCCTTTCCTAGTAAAGAAGTTTATTTTAAAAATGTTACTATAACATTCACACATTCTCAGTATGCACGTACTGTGTAGTTATGTATTTACACGCTACGCCTTAATAATTACGAACATGCCCGCTGCGCGTGGAGGGAGCAAAAATAGCAAAATAGTCTATTTTTCATTTATGAAGATTTACCACATTTGTGGAAGGATTGGCATAACAGGTGACTATCACCTCTTCAAGATGTCAAACCTGAGACCAGACTGTAAGGTTTGAACCACCAAACCCTACTCTCTTCGATAAGTGTGGTGGGTTCTTTAACGTGCATGGGCTGTGGCGCTCCCAAACACGGGACCTCAATTTAACATCCTATCCGAGGGACGTCCTTAACCAATGCTAGGTACTAATTTACACCTGAGTAAAGTGAGGAACGTCACGTAAAATGCCTTTTCCCAAAGGCACAAGATCAGTGATATCGGCCAGGATTCGAACTCGAGACCCCTTGGGTCTGAGCCTAACTACGCCACACGACCCCACGAAGTCGCTAGGCCAAAAATGCTAACGAGGAACCTCACCCTTGCCTTCATATCTTTCCTACCCATCCACCTAATATCATACGCAACCATCAACAACTTCTCGAGTTATGCGGTACACATACAAACAAACACATTACACCATTCCCAAATAAACGGTGATCAAGCTGCGCAACCTACAATCAACATCTGTATCTCCTAACTTATTAACTATCATAACATCAGACAAAGTTTTTAAAAAATGAATATTACTATCTATAGACAAAAAGGAAGCAACAAACAATAAGCCACCAGCCCTTTATCCTGCCCGTACGGAATACATTGAACATTGCACAATGGGCGTTGATAACAACTTCATACATCTCAATCTCTCTCTGTATGTTAACCATTTCATAAGTACTTACCTACACAAAACAATGCAAATTTGTCCAAACCTCCTTTTTACGTCAAATTTGCAAAAATGATTTTTTTTACTTGACCCTCGTTTTCACAACCGCTCCTCACCAATCAAATATCATTAATTTTCATCCACAGGTTCTCGAGTTATGCTTTGCACATACAAAAAGCATAAAACGCTCGCTGCAGTACCGATTATAAACGCAAGGTAAAGCATTTTCGAACTTGACCTTCGTTTCAACAGGCGTCACTCAACTACCAAATATCCATCCGCACCTTCTCTAGTTTTGATGTTGACAGCTACTCTATCATGACCAAACCAAAACCATACACTTTAGACGAATGCAAAAATATTAATTATGTTTCATACATACCATCTTCAGACTTGTTCTGTTGTTTGTAATTGAGCTTGAAACCGGTTCTCGAGACGTCTGCGTCACTGTGAAAGAAAATCTCCAATTCTCGCCCGAAGGACACGTACACGGGAGGTAGAGACGAGCCACAGAAAGTTTGGATAAAGCCTTGAATATGATAAAAGTTTTTTAAATAGTCACACATCAACACTTTGAATACTTTCATCAGGTTGGTTAGTCACGGAAAACATAATTTTTACGAAACCAATTGAGGCAGACGTTCCGTTCACCGTCTACCATCACCATCATCGCAATTCTGATTTGTTCATATAGTAAAGCACAGGTGTTGATTAGGATATATAAAGACATATATGTGTAGTCTATAACGTACATATAGTCGTTTTTTGTTTCTTTTAACTACAGGACAAAAACGTCAACCACCTGCATGTTAACAAAACTGGCGTAAAAGTCAAGCTTAGAGTTGAAGCTGCGAAAGATATTGCTCTTAGCTGATTTTCTTAGGGTTGTTCGAGTATACTTTTATCGAATAGAGTAATATTTCTCGGTAATTATATTCGTATAACCGTAAAAATATAACGTATCATTCGGTTAATTATACACATAACTCACAATAAATTCTAATGAAATTGTATAAAAATTGAAATGTTTATACGATATACTTCTGCAACTCTAGTTCTAAAAATGAGTATCTGGCCAACTTACTCATATATGGTATGTCCTGTATTTGAAGATAGTCATACATGCATCTTGACTGAAACTCTAGGTCGAATTCTTTAAACTCAATGACCACAACCTTCCCTGCATCCGCACTCAGTATCCAGCTATAAGAACAAATGTATTTCTTTCAATTTACTTTTGCATAGTGTAAATATGAAAATAATACGAAAGGTTAAAGATCTTCACCAGAAGTTGCAGGAAAGAATTGACCGACTTAATTTTCAAATAAACTTTGGAAGCGTCTTTTGGGGTACGATAATGATCATTACTAGGCGCACACCTTTCAGTGTCACATATCAAAATATATAATATTATTATCTTCCGAATTTCAACAATTCTTTTATTCCCTATTAGGCACGTCAAAACACTGAAAATATGTCAAATTACCAGAAATGTACGAAAAGGTATATCTGATTTCCTGCTCTATGTATGCCTTTAGGTGCCAGTGGGAAAATGCAGAGGCCAAATCAGCCAAAACATTCACATAACAAGAATTCTGAGATTTCATACCTCCATGAAATATGTAGAGTTTATGTAAATGTTTTGTTTCATTGAATATGGAAATAAGGTAGTAATTGATATAATGTAGTTTAATTTATGGTGTTCTACACTCAACATCTAGTGTGTTACGCCAAAGGCGGTTATACCGGCTATACTGATACAGATACAGACCTTACAATATTTTGCGTGTCAAACTCCTATCCTTTGGCAATATTTCACTTAAACATCCTCATTTAAACTTCCTCATTAATTGTGCAAATGCCTCTATGTTAACATAATATATGCATATTCTTGTTAACATTTAAGTAACCTACATGTCACAAGGTACAGAATAGCCATCATTCACCATTAAGAAATCATATAATTTTCGCAATAATTATGCAAATTAGGTCATCATTTGCATAATTGGTATCTGTTGACGCTCTATCTGCCACTGATTACACATATTACATGTATGAAAGTACTATAATGTAATTAAAGAATTTCCTCATTAATTATGCAAACTAGGTCCTCATTTGCATAATTTGCATTTAATCGTGTACAGCTCTCTCACATACCTACCTACTAAAAATGATGAAAATATGTTGTTCCTATCTGGACTTATTGGCTTTTAAAGATTTCGCCCGAAAGTCCCCTGCAGTTCCAGAACAAGCTGGTAGGGGGACCAAACCCACACCACTTATTTCTGACAGAAAAAGCTATCTGTCATCAAAAAGTCAAGACCATAGCATGTTCAGGACAAAAGATACAAAAACCGGAAGTTCTGCTGCAGTACCAAGGTCATCCACCAGGAGGCCCATATTTGACCTTGACCTTCGTCTTCCTAAGACTTACCAACATACCAAATATCATCACAATCCATAAAGGCGTTCTGAAGTTATGATGACCACAAAGTTGCGGAAACACACACAGACAGACACACAGGCAGACAGACACACAGACAGACACGCCAAAAACAATACCTCCATTTTTCATGGAGGTAATGATAGTAAGAAAACAAGGGAAATCGTAGATTTCAAACCTCCGGGTTTTTTGTGTTCTATTGGTTTAGGTTATTTGTTTGTGTGTAGTATGAAAGTTATGTGCGTAATATGTTTGTATGTGTTTGATGGCTACTGACGGTTGGTTCGGTATGGACTGTTGATTAACGTGTCTCACAGCCTGCACCGTCACCCGCGCCATTACCCCCGCCGTCATCCCGCGCCGTCATTGCTGCGCCGTCACCCAAAATTTTTATCGGAACCAGACACCCCTCTGTTTGACCCCTTTTGAATGCTAAGACCCAAAACTGCAACCGCCCCATTCCTTAACAACATGGTAATGACCATTTTCAGCATGGCGGGGGTGTCCGGAGCACTTAAAAACCTTTTATTTCGACGCCCATAAACAAATATGCAATTAAACAAAAACGTTCTGCATCATCTGCAGCCCAATAGCAATACGTATACCGAACCACAGACAAATCCGTCCAGCCGATCGCGAGAAACAGCTGCTGACAGAAATGTTTCGAACCATAGTAAAACCTCCTCGCGGAAGGATATCTCCTTCCCCGGAGGTAATAACGGACAAAGGGAAGCTTTGATATATCATTGATCCAAACTATTGTTACAATAGCCTGAATGACAATACGAAAGTGGTGATGATGATGTATTGTACCCGCAATCGGTGTTATTCTGGTATCTCCCGGTCTCTACATCGTGCGGAGACATAATCTCCCCCTCCTCGTCAGTTATATTACGCCTTTCAGCAGGCACACACACTGTGTAAACATGGCATAGTTTTCATCTTCAGTTTTTATATTGAGTTTAATGTTTATTGTGGACATTTGTGGCATACTGAAAGATGTAATTATATATAATTTTACGTTTACACATCACCACGAAAAAAGCCCACAGAGTTGAAAATGACTTATCCTACTGTTTAAAAATTCAGAAAAAAACGGACAAATATCAGTAATAAGGTGCCTTGCAAAAAAAGCAATTTGGAACAAGGTTTAACATATCCTACCTGAACAGCGTGGAGGGCTGAAGTTCCAGTGCCCGGACACACAAGTCAGGTTTTGCTGGCCGAGCAACATGTAGCCGTCTTCACAGCCAAACGTAACAACCGACCACTCGTCAAACGTGTCTCCGATCCTGTAGCCGTTGGTGGGAACGCCAGGGTCCGGGCACGGAAAACCCGTCAAATCAAATGCTAATGCCCGAAAGAAAAGAAGAACTATCTTGACAAAAACCTTTTTATTGGGCTCATTAATAATGAAATGATAATGATGATATGTAACATAATCTATTCTATGTATGATATTCCGATCTCAAATTACATGTATTTCAAATGTGAAAGACTTTGGGCCCCCTGGCGTCTTGTTGTGGTACTGGAGCTGAACTTCCGGTTTTGATATCTCATGACCTAGACGTGCTAGGGTCACGAAATTATTGTATGATAGGTAGTTCTTGTGCTGGGGAAGAAGGGACGTAGGTTTGGGCTCTCTAGCGGCTTGCTCAGGAACTGCAGGGGCGTTTCTTTAAAAATATTCAAAAGAGGATAACTCAAGAACCGGTTGACGGATCGTCATGATTTTTGGTATGTAGGTAGCTTAAGTGACGCTTGACATAATTATGTGACAATTATGCAAATCTGAATGTAATTTGCATAACTTATGAGGAAATTCTATAAATCAACTGCATTACATTATAGGACTATTTAAGCTTGTCATATATGTAATTGAGAACAAGAGAAACACAGGCAGATATTGATTATGTAAAATTAACACTTAATTTTCATAATTAATGAGGAAATGTTATAATTCCATAAGGGTAACTGCCTAGAATTTCATACTTGGGGTATTTGAAAGTTAAGTAAAGGTGAATATGATTGAACATAACTTATTCAAATGAGGTCCTTATTTGGATAATTTATGACGAAATGATAGAATGGCTTTCTTTGTTAAGATAAGGCTGTCTTTTGGTGGAGAATATGATCAACTGATATAATTCATGCAATTGAGGATCCTATTAGCATAATCAGGAGGAGTAATCTTTACTTTGTCAGTCATAAAGATTAACATCATTTGGCGAAGGTATGAGATCGTTGAACTTAAGTTTATCATCAATTGGGCCATTTTGATTTGATTAAATGGATGACATCCTCCGGAAACCGCATAACTGATGTGAGCCTGCGAATACGAAAAGTTACTGTCTTTAATACGAAAGGTACTGTCTTTGGTATGACTCAGCTGGGGATCAAACCCACAACCTACCGAATGCAAGGCGAGCACTCACTTGGATATTGCACGAAATTTATTAATTTCTTAGTCAGTAATATCCTTTACAAGATTATGTAAATGCGAATTTGGAAATGGTTTCTAGAAAATGTAACCCATAATATCTATATTTGGTTAGTATTTTATTACCCTCAAATTGGATTTTGAAGCCACCATCCGTGTAAGACTCGTCCGAAGTGAGAAGTAGATGGGCCATGTTGTAAGTGGCAATGATTTCCCCCGCAATGCTTTGTCCTGTTGAAAATTTAAGAATGTAGAATTCTGGTTAGAAATATCCAAGAAATCTTGGACTACCTGTACTGGATGTTAAAGATAGTTTTGATGGTTTCTTCTTTCATACGTCAAGCTGTAATGACTTTCTGTCAGAACTACAACAATACCATCAATACCTTCAATATTTAGTATCGACCCTCGTCCCTGTATGTTTAATAAATAAGTTTATGAAGCAGGGACGAGGGTCGTTGACTTAATATCCTTTCACCAGTTGATTGTGGAGAATCCTGTGTGACCAAAATGACAGAATTTTTAACCCAAAATGCCCCCCCAAAACACTGTCATGTATATTATAGGACATGTCACTAATGTTGGTGGATCTAGCGCTCAGACGCCATCCGACATGAACTTTGGCGTCCCCCCTCCCACGTCTGAATAGGGTTAAAACCATTTTACATTTTCTATGCTGTAACAAATATGAACTTTCTTGTGTTAAAAGGCAGTAGGCATACCGGTGTACCGTCCCAAAAGGGTAAGGGTGTCTAGTTCCCCCATGTAGATGTATAACAAATCATAGCCATCTTCCAAAGAAAACGATACTGGCGTCATCTTCACCCCTTCCCCCGTGTTGACCTCTATAGTCCACAGACAGTACAAGTTGTTGCTATACAGTCCTGGATAGTTGGGGGAATAGACGAAGCCAGACGATTTCCCAGTGATATATGCACCACATTCACCTAGACATTGTGACAAAAAAATTAATGTTGATATGCTATGTATGATACCTCACTTCAGAAAACAAACGGAGGACAGCGAGGAGACAGCCACTGGTTTAGGTATATACATTTTAGGCAGGTATAATGCAGCTGTTGTTGTCCAACAAACAGTACATCTGTACATCTGTTTATTTAAGTGAATAGTTTAGTACACGTCATAACTTTTTCAAGCAAGAAATGCACAAATATACTTTACCATCCTCTTGGGCGTGTCCTGGCATTGGAGGGTGCAACAGTGTTATCACAAGAATGACTTTCAAACACCAGAGCATGGCTGGAGCTGGTTCTAAGAGATGCTTTTGTCTGCCAACACCTCGCTAATGCCACCGGTAGTCCCTTTTCAACTCAAGGGTAGCTGGTTGGCTTCAAGTGCGGGCAACTAAGATCATCCTCGGCAACACCTTTCACAGTTACTCTGCAGCATGTGAAGCACTACAACTCCAGAAACTCGAAGACCGACGTGTCTCTCTGTGTCTGAAGTTTGCCCAGAAGCTGTACAAGTCTGAACAATACAGACATTGGTTTCCTCGACTTCGGGGAGAGATCAGTGGGAGGGAAACAAGACAGAACAAAAAACTAGACCAATTGCCAGCACGCACAGCAAGATATGCGAAAAGCCCATTGCCTTACCTCGTCCAGCTTTTAAACAGCACTCTGTAATGTAATCCTGTAATGTACATGCCGTTATATACTTTGATTTTAATCTGGTATTTTAACTTTTAGTGTTGTATTGTAAAAATGTAATGATTATATTGTCACAATATGTTTTTATACAATGTACGGGACATTAAATTCAGTCTTCGGGCTGTGAGGTGTTTCAAATAAAACCCGCATTATCATGCAATGCGTAGCTAGACTGAATAATTCAGTGTTTGTCTCACAGTACACCTGCACGAAATTACTCGCATTTCTGGTATACCATAAGTCGTTTTATAGGTGTAGAATTTCCATTATTTTTTTAATCTAGCTTGCAAAATCCTTCTGTCAGAATGCCTGGATGGCACTGGTTGGCGCTGGACTGAAGTCTTGCAACTCCGATGGGTTCCCAATCGGTATACGACATATAGTATGTAATTAGTCTTACCTTCGTGCAGTAATTCTAACAATTCTGCTTATTTACCACAGCTTTGGTATGCACAGTGGAGGGGCGGGGATGCAACGTGACTAGCTGCTATCTTTAGCTGAGATCCCCAACAACAGGAAGGGGTGTCTGATTGGTTAATGGCTGGTTAGCGCAAACGCAATGAGAAGGATCAAGGATATATTGGAAGAATGAATCGTAGGCTTCTAAGCTAGGTCTACTAATCAATACGCAATTGTAACATGCCTCGTATAGAATGATGAATAAGACATGTACTGCTGATATAAATGGATTCCGGTAAAATACGTATTTTGGTTGGTTGGTTGGTTGGTTGGTTGGTTGGTTGGTTGGTTGGTTGGTTGGTTGGTTGGTTGGTTGGTTGGTTGGTTGGTTGGTTGGTGGTCAGCGTTGCCACTCACTCAGTCCAATAGCTGTATCCTGTAGCGAGTCACTAAAAGTTAGAATCTGCACACGATATTTTCGAAAATTATTTCCTCATGTTGGTAGGATATAAAACAGAAAAACCCAACATACTCTTTCCAATATGGCAACACTAACAGAAGAACATAAACGGGGGTCTGTTTAGTTCTCCCACGGGACGACTATAATTAGAAAGACCAACTGGAAAGATGTAGAATATCAGGTGAGTATGGCTAGGGCCTTTAATTTCTTAGAAAAACACATTTCTTCAGTCTTTAAAGGATTAAGTTCCATGAGCCAAGTTGAAGACCAAAGTGATATCTTTCTCAGATCAGAATTAAGTCGAGAAGCTGTAAAATCAGGATTATCTACAATATCTAACAGGGAGCTATCGTCGGCGAAAAGAAACGGACAAGTAGCTAGACCGTCCACCATGTCATTTATACAAACAAGAAACAAAAGGGGCCCCAACACTGAACCCTGAGGTACTCCTGCGCCGACCTTTTTTTTTATTCAACAAAAGAAAATAACAAAAAAAAGTGAACCATCCAACTTGACAATGTAAGTACAATAAACCAAAGTAACTCAAAATATACATATGGTACATATAATATGAAATCATAATATAATATGCAATCATAATAAATAATATTATACAATGCAATATCACATCATACCATATAACAATATGACATAATATGATATAATGAATTATATGACATAATATAACATCACATTATATCACACATGATACAATATATAATAAATAATATGATATAACATTATATCACATTATATCACATTATATCACACAACATGATACAATATGATACAATAAATAATGACATAATATAACATCACATTACATCACACAACAATATGATATAATATGATTTAAACACATAAACCGCCCCATTTCCCGAGATGCTTCTCCAATTTGTTTTTATTTGTAGCAATATAAAGCTCAACTTTGTTAAAAAAGGATATATAAATTTAGAAAGGATTGAAAATTCAATTTTTTGGACTTTCTACTATGTAATATGAAATATTTTGCTATTAAGATTATAAAGTTTTGGATCACAGGGGTGCCCGGGAGAAGGTTTCCGAAAATAATATTAAAACCGTTCAACAGGATATCTTGACCGGTTTTTTGAACATACCAAAATTTAATCTTGTTCCAAAAATCTATTAAGTTAGGACATTCCCAAAAGACATGAAGGTATGTTTCCTCTTCAAGATGACAAAATGAGCACAAAGGGTCGTCAGTCAATTTCCAAATATGTAATAATCTATTTGTAGGTAAAAACTTATTTAAAATTTTGTATTGGGTCTATAGTGCATTAAATTAAAGAATTATAAACTTGTTTCCAAGGGATGGGGGTGTCAAAGAGGTACAGCCATGACAATTGTACTTTATGTGCAGTATCTATAAGGTTGCTAGACAGCAGGAAAAATTTATACATACATCTATTGACTTTTGTCTGTTTTAACCATGTGTAATTCTGAATTACAGGTCTACATACTTGATCTGGTAAATTATCACACAAAATTGATTTCCATTTGCTTGGAATTGCAGAAATTAACTGTGTATATTTAAAATGGTTATAAATAGTTCCATAGGAACACAAGGAATACATGGTGAACCACAAAAACAAAACGTAAAATCCAGGTACAATAGTGTTGTGCAAATTTTACAGATAAACCCTGTTGCCCCTAATTACATGGTTTAAAAATACAAATGGGATTTTGTAACTCTTTTAAATATTTGTTTAACAACTTTTTATCTATTCTGAGAAAATTGTATTTAATTTTCCCCATTTCCCCCTATGTTTTAATAGTTTGTGTTGCCTATACGCAATGTTTAATTCTAGTCTATAAAAGTAAGAAACATAAGATATAAATACAGATAAACTTAAGGAATACTTACGATTTTTAAAAATAAACATTTTACCCAGGAGTACTATAACATTGGAGAGAACCGGGCATCGACCACTCAGGTTACCAAAAATTATATTGATTGCGTTGATTTGTAAATGAGTACCAGTGATGTTGAAGAACCAGTCGTCCACCTGACTCCAAAAATATGCAGATATTCGACAATTCCAAAATAGGTGGACGACTGATTCTTCTTCCTCTTTACATAGACTGCAAATTGGTGAGTCTATTAACCCCCATAAAAATAATGTTTTATTACAAGTTAAAAATTTGAACAGCAGTTTGTATCGAAACATACGAGTGTTTGAGTCAATAGAAAGTTTATACGGCAAACTATACACTTTGTGCCAAGGTAAAGGGGTATCGAAATATTCCTCCCACAAAAATTTAATTTTGTCAGACGAGTCCCATAAACTGGCTTCGTTCATAAAAAAACGAATACAGATCTTTGATTGTACTTAACTTCGGAACAGGCTTCCCCAAATTTTTGAGTCAGATCATCAAATGATAAAAACCTATTTTGTAAGTCTAGAATGTCATTTACAAACACTACTCCTCTACTAAACATTACCTGTGAAAAGAAAGGTTTCCATCGATTGTAATATTTGAATTTAAACACAGAAGTTGTTGTTTTATTTCTACTGCTCCCTCTGGCGGCCGGAGTTGGAACTTTAACCAAGCCTGTATTACATGCATGAAAAAAGAACTAAGAGGTGAATTTTTCCCCATTAAAGAATTAAAATCCACATACTTTAGTTGGGAAAAAGGAAATACATCCGTACGAAAAATAGAACTAGATAAAAATATTAATTTAGAGCAAAACCATTCTTTATTTAGATACAATTTTGACAACCAAGAACCTTTCTGAATAGACTACGCCCCGTTATTGACAAGATACTCCGTCCTAACCAGAATGGATTCCGACCATCACGTTCGACCTCAGCACAAATCCTGGCCCTTCGCAGGATCGTAGAAGAGGTGCAGAATCACCAAAAAGAAGCAGTTTTCATATTTATTGATTTTAGAAAAGCTTTTGACTCTATTAACCGTAATACTATGTTTGAAATTCTTTTGGCCTACGGCATACCCCCTCCAATAGTAAACGCGATCAAAATCATGTAAGAAGATACAACAGCAACAGTTCTCACACCCGAAGGGGAAACTGACTTCTTCAAGATCGAAACAAGTGTTCTACTCGCTCGCTCGCTCCTTTCCTGTTCATAATCACTTTGGATTACGCACTACGCAAGGCTGTCAACTCCAGTGATGGTCTTACACTGCGGAGGAGACAGAGCTCCAGGTATCCGGCGGTTGTGATTCCTGACCTGGACTTTGCAGACGATATCTGTCTACTTGAGGACACCATTCGTGCTGCACAGAGTCTTCTACAGCGAGTGGAATCAGCAACCCAGGAAATTGGACTGTACCTTAATTCTTTGAAAACTAAAATGATGCATTTAAATCCAAGTGACCAGCTACAGGCACTACTTGCTAGCGATGGGACAGTAAAAGTATTTAGGTAGCTACAGTAATTCAGTGTATGATGTTAATGTTCGTATTGGCCAGGCCTGGGGAGCATGCCACGCCCTAAAAAAGGTGTGGAAGGCCCCGATCCAGAATACCACAAAGTTAAAAGTCTTTAAGTCTTGTGTAGAGCCTACTTTGTTATATAGCTCCGACTCATGGACTTTAACTAAAGCCTTGTCTAAGAAACTGAATGGTAACTACACGCGCCTGCTTCGGTGTGTGCTGAATGTTCCATGGCAGAGCCGCATGAGTAACAAAGAACTTTACAACGGTCTACCCCTGATTACCCAGACCATTCAGAACAGACGACTGGCCCTTGCCGGTCATGTGGTACGCCACGAAGAGATGGCTGCCAAAGTGCGTCTCTGGCAACCGGATGTAAAAAGAAGGAGGGGACGTCCGTGCCTAACGTTAAAGAAACTGATCGAGGAAGAGGTTGGCCTACGGGACGAGGAACTTCTGTCCGCCATGCGAGACAGAGTCACATGGAGAGACATTATGAATGGCACCTCAAAAGAGGATGACCTGAACTGAACTGAACTGAACTGAACTGAAG